ATCATAAAAGAGATACAAGGGTTTTTGCAGTTTTGTTGCTTTTTGATCAAAAGTCTTACATAAAGTAAATGGACAGAGGGTAGCTTCGGATGAGTCAAGCACTTAAGACTCAGACAATAGGTTACCTGGTAGACCTTCTCTAAGATTTAATCGCCCCTATGAGTTCTTACACACACTCACCAATCTCACACCCTTTCCTGTTCTCTCATCACCCCAGTGTGAGACATTCCCCACACTGGTCCAGAAATGGCTCTGAGTCAACTTTCTCCCATCACTTTGAAAATAATATGAGGGATAGATAGATGGATAGATAGATAGATAGATAGATAGATAGATAGATAGATAGATAGATAGATAGATAGATAGATAGATAGAAAGATAGATAGATAGACTTTCTCTTGTGACTCTTGCTACCCGGTGACGTGCCTCCTCCCCACTCCAGATCTGCAATTTTTTCTCTCTTTCTCTCTCTCTCTCTCTCTCTCTCTCTCTATCTCTATCTCTCTCTCTCTATAGCTCTCGCTCGCTCGGCTCTTCATACACACGCAACCCATGGCGAAGACGGGAGGCTGTTCACGACCCTGTGTGCTGCTGTGCTGTGTGCTTAATCCTTCCTTTCGTCTGATTTTAGTCACACTGGATCGGTGATCCCGTGAGGGCCGAACATCGGTAGCATCTATCCAGCACGTTTCGACCCCTTACCGGATATACAACAACAGAGGTGGTTGGAAAACAAACAAAGGGTTGGAAATTCAAAGGATCCGGCGTGCCCTTCCTCTGCGCCCTGTACGCACAAGCAAAGGCGATCTTGTTGTACTGCGCACCGCGACGCACAAGAGGACATGTGTGCGCACCAGCGATGCAGTTGAACTTCACTTCCTCTGACAGACCCTAGAGTCATTTGGATGTCGCCACAGTAGCCTCCTGTATAACGCAGTCTGTGCTTAACCTCGCGCGTGGCAGGACGATTTGGATCTAAACGCCAACAAGTGGAGGCTGGTGATGAAGGCTGTTCCTTTACCGGGACCCTGATGTGCGCTGACACTTGGATTTGACCAGTTCTGTTTAATGTGACGGGGGACGATGCGTTCATATCTGTCTCAGTAACATATGGTCTTTGGGCGCAGACTTGAAGCCATCGATCCGCCGCTTCTCCACTGCGCGTCCTCGTCGGGACTGGAGCGGACAGAGCCGGGGACGCTGAGGAATGCGGAGCCGGGATTTTGTCTTTCCCAGCTCACCTGCGGAACTCTTCGCAGCGCACAACAAAGTAAGTGATTGTCTTAACTAAACCATGTGCTTTGGTTCGTTTACGTCCAAATAACGGCAAAATAACAAAGTCCTGTGGTAGCTTATTTCAAGGAATATATAGTTTGTTCTTCACAGTAACTACAGCCAATTTTAAGGTGTTTTCATCAGTGTAGATTATCTGTGTACCTGGACTGGGTTTATCAGTGACCTTGTCAGACATTCTAGTAGTCTATTTTACTTGCAATTATAACACTAGATTTTTATATTCCTATGCTTTTTCTAAATTTGTCACACGGGAATCGCCCCTGGTTCCTTTTTTATCGGTGTTGTTGCATCAGAAGTAGGACTCCCAGGCAGAACAAACACGGGGTCAGTAGGCTACATAACCTTTTCCGTGTCTTTTCATCCTGCAGCCGACCAACGCAGCCGGTGAGCTCGCAAGGCGCCATGCTGAGGCAGATCCTCCTCAACTCCACCGACACCCCAGACTTCGACCTGGTGCTCATGGCCCAGTCCTCCACACACGCCCCCTCTTCCCTGAACGCCTCACACGGGGGCTCGGTGAGCGTGGCGGCTCTTCTGAGACCCACCACGGGGCGAGGTGGAGGCGGGCTCCGGGAGGGCGAGCTGCACAAACCGGACCTGATCACCTACATAGTCATGTGCCTACTGCTCTTCTTGTTGGTGCTGCTCATTGTGTTCTTCATCAACTGCCAGCTCCGGAACTCTTTCTTCGCCTCCATGCCATATGACAGGTCACTGAGAGAGGCCCGTTCCTCCTACAAGTAAGGCGAGAGCGCCAGGACAAACCTCTGGGACTCTGAGTCTGTAGTGAAAATACTTTGGAGGTTTAAGGACTAACTGGTCACCCCTGAACTGCTTCGGCACGTACCACTGGACACACGAAGTAGTTGCCTTTATGAGTTGTCTTGGACACAGTGGATGGTCTAAAAAACCTGCACTCCCCAACAACATGATTTGGCGGGGGCTCGATTGTTGTGAAATGTTGACCACATTTTTCACTTCCAGGCCCAGAGCTCCGTCCCCTAAAGATAGCCCTTCAGACCACGGGGGGCTTTTAAGAAGATAAGTGGTGTGTATGTGCCTGCTGCAGGTGGAGAGATAACAGTTTAACTCCTGATTAAAATGAGTGACTTATATTTTCTTGTAATAATTAATTAATTGTGAAACAATCCATCGTCCACTGCAACCCCCTTGTGGTCCCCGCAAAGCACTTTGGAAACAAATTGTTTATTCCCTTAAAGTGTATTCCCAAGGTTGTATTCATTCATGTAGTTGCTTAAAAATTTGACCTGCAGTTTGATTCCAAATCCACCGTACTTCCCTGATAAGATGATACGTTTTTTTCCCCTAAAAGTGACTTATGTCAGCATAGAAAGGGTCTACAGCAGTTTGTATATAATATATTTTGTATGACTATAACTTAACTGTCTTGTCTTGTGAAATGATGCAATCAACATACACTTTCCCTATTTTGTCCATTGTAAAATGGTAATTAAATGACAGACTAAAGGTAGGAAATGTACTTTGAAGTGCAGTCCTTTCGTCTATATGAATCGCCATGGTGAAGATGATGCTGCAGCTGCTGAAGGATCAACTGTTAATCATTTAACGCGTCCGCAGAGGCGTATATGAGTGCCATAGGGCTGCCAGCCTTATCCTGCACTTTCTCTTTTAATTAACCTCTCCCCCACTATTTATAGCGCCAATATCCCGGAGAATGAAGACTTGAGGCTGTATATGAGGAGACCTGTGCGATAAACCAAACTGTTGTCGGTTTCAGTGCCACGAGTGATGCGCAAATCCTCTCCAGTCCTGTTGTTGGAAAACATCTCTCACATACCAAGGCAGATAGATGAGCCTATCTCTGTAATCCTGTGCCTCTGTGTGTGTGTGTGTGTGTGTGTGCACGCGCGTGTGGTTGTGTGTGTGCGTGCAATGTGTCTACGCACAGGTTTGTGTTAGGCAAACACTGCATTTCAAGTACTGGACACTATATCTTGAAATCATCAAGACTCCTGTGAGCACTCACTGGGTGACTCCTGAATCCTGCTGGGATGTAAATTTCCGCTGAGGTGAGCTAAACACATGGTGCGCTATCAAAAATATTTTCTGGATTTGAGAAGCACTGAAATAAGGTATTGTATGGGGGGGGGGCACATTGGCCCAGAGTGTTGGATTCGTAATGACTGACAATGACTGACCAACTAAAAGCTGTTATTTGGAAGACATTCTGCTAAGAATTGGGTCGATTATTCAGCACATTCAGAAGAATGGGCTATGTGCCTCCTTGATTCAGTCATTTGCTGCAATTGCCTTGTAGCCTATATTTTAATATTCTTTGCCATGCCACCCGGTTCCAGTCACATTTCTGAAAGCAAAGAAATCATTTTAGAGAACAATATAAAGTAGGCTACATAACAATTGATTCCTATTGGTTCATTACTCTAACTGCTTGACATGCTGTATGAACTCTGGTGACACTGCAGCGCCTGCCGTTTATATTTTAACCGCTTGGTGGCGCCCCAACTCTGATTATTTGTTCACATAGAATGATTACAGTACAGAGCAAAGTTGCCAAACCACACGTAAAAAAAAAAAACCTTTACAAAATACAAAAACACCTGCACAAAATAGGGACAGAAATGAAGCAGCATCACTTTTGTTGGCTCAGTAAGGAAGATAAAGTTCCTCATGATCACCTACATTTTAATAATAATTATTGTAACACTTGCATAGTTAAGATGTTATGCTGCTCCATCTGCAAAATTCCTTTTTCACATATATGAGATACAATGAAATACTTGTGTAAAATCTTAGTTGTAGGAGAAGAGGTTTTCTTGTCAAGTCTATATCTAATCTTAAGAGTCAAGGACACAGAGATGTGTGTCCAGAGAAGCTATTTCTAACATGGTTTTATTAGACCTCTGTATTGTAATCTCTCCTACTGCAAGGGCAATAGCAGAGATTACACCACAGTAGTCTTCAATTACAGGCCACAGACTCTCTCTTATGGAGATTTTTTTTGATACATGAATTACACCTATTGGAAAAAATTAATAAGCTAGGTTATTGCTCAAATTGCACCTGAACAGCCTTTCTCCCTTGAACTGATTTTTAATGCTGAACTGTGAAACTACTCAGGCCATTTCAAATATGACCAACTGGTTGAACTTCGGTGTATAGAGGTTCCTGTTGCAGTCAAACATCTGTGATAGAAGTTGTCATTTGATAACTCCATAGTATCATCATCCAAATGCCAGAAAGCCTACTATGAGACATCATGCTAGATGCTGCCACTATCAGTAACTATCAGTAATGGTCTGTGCTGCCTGCTGGTGGTGAGTTATTCTACTGCACTGCTCTACTAACATTTTAATTGAAGGTCTGTGAGGATTTTAGACCTTTTTTCCCTTCATCTCTTCTTCTGGATTTTAGATTGTATATTATGACACAATTATCATCAAATACATTGTTAGCCTACATCAAGTGTTGTGTAAAGCACAAGCCTTAGATAATGATGCCATGAAAACATTAACTTGCAATGGTAGTCTTTTTTACTCTAAACTGTCTTACATTTGGATTACAGTATCAGTCAGTACTTCTGTCATATAGCTCTGATGCTCCCTGAACCCGAGGTTGGAGCAGTCAGTCCTCAGGTGTAGCAGCAGAGCTCAGGCTCCTCCCAACCAGCTCTGACCGGACTGTCAATAGAACAGGAAGACTCCTCAACTGCCAAAGACGTAGTCACTTCCCCGCTGTCATTCAGGAGTTAAAAAGTTAACTAAACTTGTAGCAGTCATGGAAACTAATTTGGGAGACATTGTTGACCCAAATAATCCGTAACGCCGACTCGCCGCTTGTGATTTTATCACCGAAACAACTCGTGGGAAGAGTGGAGTTATTTTTTTTCTTGCCTACGGAGACTTTACCTACTGTAGCAGACAAGCTAGCTTAGCTACAGCTAACGTTAGCTCATCTAGTGCCACATACTTTATGGAGTTTAATTCTTATTGTTAAAGCTTCACTTTGTGTTACATGTGGATACTAGTAGAGTAACGTCCTCGTTTGTATTTTGTTGACGCAACAGGTTGTTCCCGTACTTTTCGTCCCGAGACACGGGGCTGTGCTTTGAATTTCCCTCCTTCAGTGGTAGAGACAGGCGGTTTAGCGAGGGGTTCGTTCGGTGTAGTTGGCTTTCTACCAAATCATTAGCAGCATTGTGCTAATTGTGGCTAGTTAGCCAGGCAAGTAGCATAGGCCCAAGGGAACAGTTGGCTTTTTTCAAGTTAAGACAACACCGTCGGAGGAAACATTTTCTTTGTGTTTAGAGCGGGGAGATTACCGCCACACGGGTTTATTTTGACACCCAATTCAAGGAAACGGATTAACTTTTAGATATGGATCCACACACGGGCAACGCTGCCTCAGCTGCTGGTCCAAAGAAGGATAAAAAATCAAAGAAGAACTATGAGGATGGAGATGGGAAAAAGAAATTTGTGAGTATCCCACAGGTTACACTTACTGCACTTTAATGATCTGTTTTGGGTACGTGGGCTCAAAAGTTTTGCACCTAACACGACAGATGGTTACATTTTCTTCTCATGTTTCAAGTGAGGCTACGAAGCAACAAACTGCCTCCATACCTGTAATTACTTTTACCCTCTAAAGCTGTGCACCAGCTGTCAATAGAGCTTGAAATGTCTATCCTGTAGGACTCACGACTTATGTCAAAGTAAGTGTCAGTGTATGAGGAAGTAGCTGGCCCTCCAACTTTGTAGGCATGCACTGTGCAATACACCTCAAGTTGTGCAGTCCTGACAAATTGCAACAAGTCAAGACTGAGGTTGTATTATTTTTCACAACAATTGGAAAAGTAAATCAACAATGTAATTTATCTGACAGTAAGTTATTGCTGTATTTCCTTACTCCAGAGAAGACAGTGCATATTTTGATTATTATATAAAACGAAAACATTTGAATTGAATGATGCCAGGTGAATGAACAAACTTTCTGTGGTAAGGTGTGGCACTGGGACCTTGAGTTTTCTCATGGTGACTTAATCACAGTGACGTCATGTGGTGTCTGCCTGGCTGTGTCAGCATGTGATTCAGTGTGGCATCTTGATGGGAGCAGAGCAGAGGGAGTCACTGGTGTTGATGTCTGTCGTAAGCCAGAGCAAACTGTTGCGTAACTCAACCCCATGGCCATGTCTAGCAACAGGTGAAAACTGATATTGTACAAACAGACAAGCGGTAACCATAGACGATGCTCGGAAGACACATCTGGTCACTGATCAAACGGCTCCAGGAAATGTGCGGACACACACACACACACACACACACACACACACACACACACACACACACACACACACACACACACACTTACTTTCAGAGACTTGTCAGGCTGTTCAGAAGTCCCCTCGTTTAAGCCATGCTGACAGGAATGAACACAAACTTTCTTTTCTTTTAACACACAGTTACATTCAGAACAGTTTGTTCAGACTTTTTTTTATGTAAATAGTACCACCTGGGTATGAGCCTAATAGCACCTATGCCAAGCAGTGAGAATAACGGTGGGAATACGAGGTTGGTTGGTCTTTGTTAAAAGCATGTTTTTGATGACAACTGGAAAATTCATATAGTCTGTCTACGCAGACCTAGGTTTTCAGCCTTTGAAAACAAATTTCTGTCTCAAGGACTAGACAGATAAATAGATGAAAACAAAGAAAGTATTGTGGTGAACGGTATAGTATTATAGTAGTTTTAATGTATGCACAGGTTTAGGTAGGGTTATAAGTAAACATGAGTCATACACAGAAACCGATTGTGCAATGTCCTGAGATAACACTGCGTTCACAAGTCTATATTTGAGTGAGAGTCTGCCAAGCAAAGCCAAAGCATGAGTGTATGTCTGTGTGTTTAACTACACTTCCCATCTTAGTCAGGTCTGTCCTTGACTTCAGTACACCACTTACTCTGAAATTTGAACCTATTCTAGCAGAATTTTTACTACACCACGGTCAGAGTTCAGACAAAGGTAAAGGAGTGTAGAATTATGTGTGGTGTACTTGATCTGCAGTGTGATTTCATCCATCAACTATCTATAACTTCATCACTCTCTGCTTTCGACTCTTCTCAGACATACCAGTGATAATCACATGTGATATGTATGACTTGGTGACGTGTGAGTGTGCTTTCCACTCAGATTGGAATTTGGTATTCCAAGCCAAAATCATCCGCATGTGAATGTATCTCCATTGTGTCGTCGAAGACTGAATGAAGCAGTGTGGGTGGGTTATCCAGCTTTAGTCATCATCTCTTTTCCTAGACATGGTCACAGTTTCTGGATTAATCGAAGACTGGATGGATGTTTTTTTTTTGTTTGTTTAAATGCATTATGTTGTTGGAATAATGCCACTAAGTGACTTAAGACAAATGCTATGGGTCTCTGCAGCATGCAGAATTAATGACAGAATGACATTTTTGTACTTTCGTTTCACCAAAATAAATATATCTATATTCTGCCACATCATCATTCACAACATCAAATGTTGCCTGACTCACTGGATGTAGGTTGTTTGTATAAGGCTGCCATTGGGTGCCTATTACAGGCGGCATTCTCCTCCCTTTCCACTTCCTCTGCCTGTTACTGTTTTCAAAATCCCCTAATACGTACAACACCAGCCTCTGAGTTAGCAACCTACACGCTGAAAATGGCAAGTTTTGATTAAGATTTGGATCACACAGTCGACATTAGTGCTGACCGATGAATCGTATTTTCATTGTCATCACAATATGAACATGTGCAATAAACAACCAGAGTGAACCACAAAAAAAAAAAAAAAACACGCTTAATGTTTTCTACCCCGTTTTGGTGTCTTTATTGGTTGGCCTGTGGCCTCTCCTCTCTGACACACACAAACACACACCAGTGAAAAGTGAACGTTTTACTGGAGCTCACAACAACTACGGTCGTAGCTCTGTAAGTGAAATCAAAACCTTAACCTTGCTGGCTGTGCGAGACTAAATGTTGGTTGCCTTACCCCAACATCAACCCCTGTAATGTTTACTACAGTTCTACCCCACAAAAGTGTACTGGTTGGAAGTCATTTTGTCCTGCTGTGTGTAAATATCTGTACACTTGAGTGCTTGTCAGTCTGTTTTGCGTGTGTCTCAGTTCTTAAACTGGTTGGTTTTAGCGTATGTAACCTGTAGTTATGTTTAACAGGAATGCTTGACATGATTCACTGTGCTTACAGGTACCTCTGTAGCAGAGCATGACCCAGGTATTTTGTTTGAAGCTGAAAGCAGGTTGTTTTAGTTGTGCTCCCTGAAGCTCTATCTGTGTTCTTCAGGCCCAGAGGGACAGAGAGGATCTGCATCCATGGATGATGTTGACATAAACAGGCTGGCTGAGCTCAGCAGGCAGACGCAGTGTGGATTAGCCAGGGATCACTGCCTTGGACAGTTGTTTGGGATAAATGGTGAATTTGTAGATCACAGATTATGGCTCAGGGACATCTTGTTGCATTTGGCAAGTTATCTGATTTTTTTGTAGGTGAAAGGTTTGCTGAATTCTCTCAAGTAGAAGTTGACTTTTTCAGGACCTGATAATGAATGTTGGTTATCAAGGAGACCTCTAACCAATATTTTTGAGTGAGTTGTGCAACTTGGGCATATTCTTTTGGGGCTTATGGGACATTTCTCTCAGATTTATTGGTTATTTAAATTCATTATTTGCATTTAAAATTCCCATTTGTGATAAGGACATCGGTTGGATTTTGAGCCAGAATTTTCCTGTCAGAGATTTGAAGCTGTGTTCGGGGATGGTTTGCATTACATAAATTGCACTTGGAAAGAATGTTGTCAATTCTGATAATTGTAAAAAATGTAATTATCATCATGAAGTATGTAACTTGTAACTTACAGTATTAAAGCTAACACACAGATGCACATTACACACCTGTTGTAGTTGATGCCAAAAAGAGAACCCTCAAGCAAATGTCCAAGCGGCACATATTTCTCTCTCTCTTTGAATATTCACAGAGTTGGAAAAAATGCTGACTTGCTCATGCATGTAACCTCAACCTACCAGCTGGATTACTGCTGTCATGTTAATAAATGTTAACAGAAGTGATTTTATTTGACTTTTTCATATCATGAATAATTATGGTATTGTCAATGTGTAATAAGAGTTGCAATAAGAAAATTGGTGTAAATAAAACATTAAGATGCATCAAGAATCATTTTGTAATGGATTGTAGTATAGTCAAAATCAAATTGTGAGGTACACAGAGATGGCCAGCTTTAGAATCTTGAGACCATATTGTCATATATTGCCATACTGATTATTTGTCCTACCCCTTAATTATAGTAATGCAGCTTGTGTGGAAAACCACAATACACTCAAGCACCGTCGATCACAACAAGAGCAACCAAAATCATTAAGTGAAATTATGAGGTAGCTGTTTTTGTCTGCATCTGTCTTACTTATATGTGGTGTTTTATCGAGGCTTGGTGCTCATGTTGCCAGCGGGCACTGTTTTAGTTGTTGAATGCAGGTTAACATGTTGGTGCTGATCAGTAAAGGTCTGATTAATAGCAAATACAAGTGCAGCTTCCTTCAAGCATGAAAACTTGAGCCTGCATATGCCTTTGTGCAGCGGTGCACCTACTTCCTGGGGGAACTACCTCAGCAAATGCTTAATTTAAGGTATCGCTATGAATTAAGCCAGTCACCACTCTTAAGTCACTGACTCAAGTAGTCTGAGTCAAGTTGAACAATTAAGAATTTGTTTCAGTGTACAGTAGGTCCCTTTTGCCCTTTTTCTTTTTACATATATACAGTACAGTATATGTATGTGTGTATATATATATATATATATATATACATATACATGTCTGTTCTGTTCCCCCAACACACACACACACATACACACACACACACACACACACACACACACACACACACACACACACTATACAGACACAGACACACAGTTTCCTGCTCTCTACATTTCAGGGGAAGAAGAGCATACTGTGAACTGAAGAATAGGATGACTGAGTGCCAGCATGAAACTGGAGTGGTTAATGGACTGCTAGTGGCAGGGGCCTCTTGGCTCGGAGTGACCAGGAGTATTTTAGAGAGCAAGGCGGAGCAAGGGAAAGCAACTGAGCCATGAGTGAGCAGACACTGGACGAGTAGTGAGAGGGAAAGGTTGATGTCAGAAAAGAGAAATGCAGATAAGGTGATTAGAGAAAGCAGAAAATGTGTATAAGTGGGGATGCTGTCAGTGATAATAGCAAGTTACAGGTGGTGTGATGGGTATGGAAAGGTTAAAGTCAAATACCAAGCTTACAGCAGTTGTCATTCATCCTCAAGTTAGACTAATATTCTGCTCAGACATCAGTTATTAGATGGAACAAAAATGCTTATTGGAAGAATCCTCCATGGGTGAGTGTGATGGTTAAAGTGCATAGTGGCCTCTGTTTAC